CTGGCTAAGTGGTGACAGGCAAGTGAATGCTTCAAGCTTCCCAGTGGATACCCTGGATTCTCTGGCTAGGGACAGCTGGTGGGAGGGAACCTTGAGGGTTCCAAGCAGCCAGGGCTGGCTTCCACGTGGCTGCTCACTTTGATTGTAGTGTAAGCAGGGCTTTTTTTGTAGAAAAAGCCCAGCAGGAACTCATTAGCATAACAGGTCACACCCCTGGCAGCGCAGCTCATTAGCATATTAGGCCACACCCCATGCCTTCCCTTGGCTTGCCTGGGCGTCCCGCGGCTGTGGGGTGCCCGGACAAGCTGGCCCTTGGACAGGCCAGGGAAGGCACAGGGAGGCATTTAAATTCCTCCCCGATCCTTCCAGGCCCCCGTGGCCCGCCCACCTTGGAGTCGCCAGGGGGGTGTCGCTCTCCATGTCAGTATTAAAATCTATCCTGGCAAGCTGTCAGTCTGCCATGGACAGTGAGTGTCAGTAAGTGTCAGATCAGAAGGATCTGAGAATGACAGCCAGTAGGTCACATGACATGGTGATTGCAGGGAGGTTGCATCAGCCTTTGCACGAAGCACCATGACTTGGCAAAAATGTAAATAGCTGTTATGTGATTGGTTGTTGTACATATAAATGTAGTGCTGTACAGTGCTGTACATCTCTTCTATGGGATCAGTTGCCTGCGCAGCACCTTGTCAGAGAGTACCACGATTTTGGACTCAGAGAGACTGTATATATACTCCAGCGTGTAAATAAACTGTAAATACTTTTACTACTCTGCTATTTGGTGCTTCTTCATATACCGTCACTCCAGGCCTTCCCTTTGTAGCCATGCACACAGGGGTTTTGGCTGTAGTGGGCGTGGCCAACTCTGAAGCCAGACGGAACTCCGTTCCTGTGCGTTCCTGCCCAAAAATAGCCCTGCGTGTAAGCAGGCCTGTAGCTAACACAGGGCCCACAGGGTCTGGCCCCCTAGCAGTTCTTCTGGGCCCCCTCCCTCCCAGGCAGGTCCCAAATGGAATTTGTGTAATTTGATTTAATTAGCTGCGCTCCCCCAAGGCCCCCTCCCAAAAAAGCTCCCTAGCTACGGGGCCGAATGTAAGTGTGCTTACAATTGCTGGCTGTGGGTTAGGAACTTCCTGGATATTCAGGGATGAAGCCTGGGGAGGACAGGGACCTCAACAGGGCAAAGAGTCGCCAGCTCTGGCTTGGGGAATCCCTGGAGATTTTGGAGGCGGAGCCTGGGGAAGGTGGGGTTTGAAGAAGAAAGGGATCTCAGCACAGTATAATGCCATAGAGTCCAGCCTCCAAAGCTGCCATTTCCTCCAGGGGAACTGATCTCTGTAGTCAGGAGACCAGTTGCAATTCGGGGAGGTCTTCAGGCCCCACGTGGAGGTTGGCAATCCTAATTGCAGTTTAAACTGCAGAACTCCCTTTCCCCTTGAAAAATAGGTGAACCTTTCTTCCTGCCATGTTAGCTTTCTAAATGCAGGGAAGGATCCCTTAAATTTACATTATTTCCAGCAGAGTGTCCTCTACCTGCCACTCTGAAATGATAACCCTTCAGGGGCACCTTGCTCCTTTTGACCTTATCAGCTAGCCCTAAATCTATCATAGTGCCTTCTTGAACCAGCACTGAATGAGCTCACTTGCTAAGGGTTTCAAAATTGGCTGCAGTGAGCATGAGGGAAAGGCGGGGAGAGGAAGGGAAGGTGATTGTAAGCCACTCCAAGACTCCTTTGGGTAGTGAAGTGTGGGATATAAAACCAAATCATCATAATCTTCGTCTTCTTCATTGTCATTGTCTTCTTCTTCTTGGTTGTCATCATTGTTGTCTTCTTCTTTGTCTTCTTCATCATTGTCTTCATCATCATCATCATCATCATCTTCATCCTTTTTTTTACTGCATAGTCATCCGAGAGAGATGGAAACAGATTGATGGACTCCGCTATACTGGTCTGTAGTATATACTGGTCTGAGGGCCACTGTTCCCTCTAAGGTGAGTTAGTGTGAGCTAGCTCAGTTTTTTTAGCCTCCAGCTCACACATTTTTGTCTCAGCTCAGGAAGGATGACTCCAGAGCAAACTAAGCCAAATCGCTCACTCACAACTTTAATGCCAGTCGCTCACAAAGTAGAATTTTTACTCACAAGACTCCATTAGAAATGTGCCATGCCCACCCTCTGAATTCCCAGCTGTGGATGCAGAGTGGCATGCAGTCTCTCTATAGACTGGCATCTTTGTATATGAATTCTGAAATCACATTTGCACTGAGAAATAGAAAGGAAACCAGTTAAAGTTTATACTGGCAGTGACTGCGATGACTGCATTTGGACTCCCATCTTTTGCGACACACATAGCCAATTCAGTGTTCCTATGGCTGAATGGTTCCTAGGGATCAATATGTATCTGTTCTGCATAAGGTTCTTAGGTGACCTAGAAGCTAGGTGACCATAGCTCTGTGAGCTCTTATCTTTCAAAACAGTGGGAAGCTGACTATATTTATTAGTTCTTTAATTTATTAGACTTTTTAGTGGCCACTTACCTGAAGGGTCTCATGGTGACTTACAACATGAAAACCAATAAGGTAAAAACAACATAAAAACAAATAACAAATGTTAAAATATTAAAATATGTGGCTATCACCATAACACTATTAAAACAGCCCAATCATGTGGTTACCCTATAACTCAGATCTCAGAGAATGGGTATTTAAGCATGATGCTCTGTTAGATAGACACTCAATTTTAAAATCACAGTCTGCTACCTGGTTTAAATCATTTAAGAATGATCATTTTAGATCACCTTACCTGGTTAATATAGATAATCATAACCTTAGAGCAGCTTTTACATCTCTGTGCTTTGAATCAATGCCTATGGCTGTATTGGTCGGCTGCTATAGTAGAGCACCCAAGGCATAGCGTTTATGTATTTGTGGCTGTTCTGCTATTGAGGATCTCTCCCATTACTTTTTTGATTGCCCATTGTATTCCCAGCCTAGGTCAAAATTTTTATCTGGTATTTTACCAGTTTTAAGCTTTTATTGTCCCAGAGAAGATTATATTTTTGCTAGCCGATGCCGATGTATCCAATAGAATGGCTCTATTTGCCTTGGCTGCAAGGAAAATACGGGCCAACGCTGTTCTTAGCTAATACTGATTTTAGTGGGTATGTTGTGAATTAATTGTTTATAACTTCGGTTTTATGGATTTATAATGTTTTAGACTGTATCTTATTTTATACAATTTTCTATGTTTTATTGCATTCTTCTCTGTTTCTGGTTTGTAATGGCCTATGGCTAAATACAATAAAAACCTTCTCTCTCTCTCTCATGTGGTTACCCTCCAAAGGCCAACCTAAACAATTCAGCTTTGCATGCCCTGCAGAAACTAAACAAGTCTGTCAGGGTACGGGTGTCATCCCACAGTGCATTCCACAGGGTAGGGGCCACAACTGAGAAGGCCCTTCAACAGGTGACAGGAGGCGGTCCTGTAGGTATGAGGGTCCCAGACCCATAAGGGCTTTAAGAGTTAACACCAACACCTTGAATTGGATCTGGAGGCTAATTGGAAGCAAGTGCACCTACAGCAGAATTGGAGTAATATGAGGTGACCATGATGTTCCAGTCAGCAACCTGGTAGCTGTTGTCTGGACCACCTGCTATTTCCAAAGCATTTTCAAGGGTAGCCCTATGTAGACTGCATTGCAGCAGTCCAGTCTTGAGGTGATCGTTGCATGGATCCATGTGGCAAGGCCTGACCCAGACAAATAAGGAATCAGGTGGCAGGCCTGGCATGGGTAAAACAATACTGACCACATTGCTGGATACTTGTCTATCCAATGATAGTGCAGAATCCAACCACACCCTGAGGCTTTTTACAGAGTCTACAGCTGTCAGCTGGACACCACCGGGTCTTGGGAGTGACCCTCCAGCTAGCATCTCAGTCTTTCCCAGCCACATGGCCTCCATCTGGGATGGATTCAACTTCAGCCAGTTCCCCCTTAACCATTGGACTACTGCATCCAGGCACTTGGAAAATGCTGAGAGCCCTGCCACTGGCTGCTTATCTAGCAGGAAGAAGAAGGAATACTGTCTCCCCTTCCCCAGAGGCAGAGCGTCCTTGCCCATCCCTACAAAACGTTCCGTTTTCCTATGAGCTGTATGGGTGTGAGCAGGGCTGTCCCTCCCTGCCCTCCTGTCCTTACAAAGGATTTGCTGACTCCTGGAGCACCTTTGTGGGCCACCAGAGTTCCTCTTCCTGCAGTCTGAGAAACACTCTGTGATGTCACTGAACCCTAACAATGATGTCATTAGATGTCCTGGGAGCATCAGGGCTTAGAATAATGGAAAACCTCCCCTATTAATGTACTGTTAAGCCCTCCGACGAATAATTTCTGTCTATGGGCATGCAACAATTATTCTTCCTCACATAGCCCCGGTTTTACTGCATTCGTTGTCCCAATTATTACTGGGAAACTTGGGCTTTGCAAAGGACATTGCAAGCTATGCAAAGTATACTTAAAAAAAAAAAAAGAATAGGAAAGACTCTTCATAGCTATAATGGGAATTATTGCCGGATGTATTTCCTGGCAGTAATTTTTTTGTTTTTTTAAAGTCAGTTGGGAAAATGCCACTGGGTTTAAACGAGACGCTCCTCGCGTTTCTTGCGGAGGAATGATGCTAGGCGGTTTCGCAAGTACTTCAAACCGCTAGATGGCAGCCTTGGGACTTGCTTGGTAAGAAAGCCGCCCGGCGCCCACTACCCGCAATAACAACAGTAATGGGGGGGGGGGGGCAGAATGAGCCTTCCCACATTCTCTGAAATCTGGGACAAAGCAAAAAATCGTCCGGAAGCTGCTGATTGCATTGCAGACAGAAGGGATATTTCCTTCTCGGGGCTGTGAGCAAAAGAGGGAGAAGGCTCTTCTTGAAAGGGGGGGGGGGGAGAGACGGAGGAGAGAGCAGCGGCACACGCAGCCCTTTCTGTGCATCTTGAAACCCGAAACCAGGCGAAGTCGCGCAACTTTGGGAGGACAACTCTTCGCCAGAGGCTGATGCGAAGCCCTTGCTCGGCTTTGCAGACGACGGCGTTGCAATAAACGGAGACTGGTGGGGAGGAAGCCGACAGCTCTCGGGCCGGGATCTCACCATGGCCCGGGCCAAAGCTCCCCGGTGGGCTCTGCGCTGCCTCTTCTTGGCTGCCACGGCTCTGGTCGCCTGCGATGGGCAAGGCGGAAGGAGCCGGGAGAACGGCGGCGCTGCCTGCTATGGAGGCTTCGACCTCTACTTCATCTTGGACAAGTACGTCGGGGGCGGAGGGGAGGGGGAGCGGCGGACGCTCGCTCGCTCGCTCGCTCGGGGACCCGGGAGTGTGGCGGAGTCTGGCAGGTTTGGGAGTCGAGCGGGAGGCCGGCGGCGGCTCCTGTGTCCCTCGCCCAGACGTTTGTCTCGGTCGGTCCTTTCTTTGCAGCCCTTCTCTTCCCCAGCCTTTGAAAAGCTGTGCTCTTTTTTTCGGCCCTGGGCCTTGGGGGGGGGGGGGGGGGAGAGAACTTCGTTAGCTCGCTTTGGCTGAGTATTGCTAAGCTTCGGGAAAACTTCTTCCAAGGAATCTTCTCTGCCGTGTTCCTCTGTAGTCCAACGTCCAGATTCCCAAGGAATGGGAACCCCATCTCTCCCCCCCCCCCATCCCAGCATCCCTACTTTAGTGCCTTTGTTAATGCAAAAGTGCCCTCGAGGGTCCGGGCAGCTCAGCTTGAAAGAAGTTTGGCCCCCTGTGTTGGGAAAGGCTGTTCCCTCTAAGCTGAATTAGTGTGAGCCAGCCCACAGTGTTTTAGCCTCCGGCTCACACATTTCTGTCTTAGCTCAGGAAGGGATGGCTCCAGAGCAAACTAATTGATGCAGTAGGCCAGATCGCTTGCTCACAACTTTAATGCCAGTAGCTCACAAACTACAGTTTTTGCTCATAAGACTCCACAGCTTAGAGGGAGCAGAGTGTCGTGCGTTTTGTTTTGTTTTGCTTTCAGGTCTTTCTCTTTTCTCAGGACTGAATCACTTGGTCCCAGTTAATGAAATGCACATACCCCACCCACCCCCGCCGCCGCTTTCTCTAATAGTCTCCAGAGATGATTCTAAAGTGCTTACTCATGTTATTTACCCCACAGTTGACACAAAGCCATTCTTTTGCATAAGTGGCTTCATAGTGTATTTGGAGTGCTTTGGCTGGCTGTCTTGGTGCCCAGGAATGAAGCAGCAGGATGGTCTATAAAACTAATAGAAAATAGACACATTAGGAAACAGAATAAAAACATGTCTTCATGGCCGGGTGCCAAAAAAGCTACTTGAGGGATACTACAAAGGCTTGGGCGCTTGAGGTTTTGACTTTCTTTGCTTCCAGGAGCTGCCCTTGAAGGAGTCTCAGTTTCGAAAGTAGTTTGCCAGCCGGTGGAGGACTACCATTTGGGAAACATAAGCCACAAATCCCCGTGGGGGGGCACAGATAATGGTGTGGATTGTTGGTCCGAGCAGTTGCATATGAATCCCACTTTTCCTCCGAAAAAGTCAAGGAGGCTAATTTTATCTTATTTATAGGGTAGACTGAAAGTATATGGTGGTCCAAGGTTGCCCAGGGGACATGGTGTCATAGGTGGATTTGGATTTGAACCCAGGTCTTTGTGACAGTGGTTCAGTTAGGTGATTTAAAACTTGATGGATCTCTCTTAGATGCTAATATAATGATGGATCATGGACTTGTGCCCCAAAGTCTGACCCTGGTGGCACCCGGCTCTCTGATTCATACATAACATTTTGCCTACCAATGCACATTGGTTCTCCTTTGTTTAGCTATACCGTTTTCACAGGTAAAATGTTTTATAAAAGTTACATGGTGTTAGAACAACCTAAAAATTATTCATTAAAAATATTCCTCTGATGAATTTTGCCATAGCTCCCAGATTTCATTGTTCGAGATTTCATTGTTCGATCTATCTATCTATCTATCTATCTATCTATCTATCTATCTATCTATCTATCTATCTATTTTAGGATATTTATTTTAGGTATTTATACCCCACTTTTGCAGCCTGATAGCTCAGCCTAGTCTGACTCTGACTTAGAGCTTGGCTGCTGAGCAGGGTTGGCCGCGGTGAGTACCTGGAGGGGGAGACTACCAAGGAAGACTGGGGTTGCTACGCAGAGGAAGGCAATGGCAAACCACCTCCGCTCGTCTCTTGCCTTGGAAACCCCAAAGGCTCCTAGGGTCATCATGAGTCTGTTGATGGCAGACAATTATAACTCATTTTGGAGACCGAATGTGGCTTCTAGCATTGTTCTACTCTCTTCTAGTTTGCCCTCGTGACAACCCTGGGTTGGAAAATACCTGGAGACTTTGGGGGTGGAGCCAGGAGAGGGTGGGGTTTGGGGAGGGGAGGGGCCTCAGCAGGGTACAAGGCCATAGAGTCCTCCCTTCAAAGCTGCCATTTTCTCCAGGGGAGCTGATCTCTGGCAGCTGGAGATTAATTGTAAAAGCAGGAGATCTCCAGGCCCCACCTGGAGGCTGGCAGCCCTCCTGTGAAGAGAATTAGGCTGAGAGAGGGAGAGACTGGCCCAAGATTACTCCGTGAGCTTCCATGGCAGAGCGGGGGTTTGAACTTGGCTGTCCCTGATCCTAGTCCAACACTTTAACCACCTCACCGCGTTCACTCGCTGAATGCTGTTGTTACAGGGGTCAGTATAAGACATGCATCTCCTAGTCTAGGTCATATTTGGCTTCTCATCCAGGGTTGAAAGGCAAATGGAATAACTCCAGTGCTAATCTATCTACCAGTCACATACCTAGCCTGCATTTTCTTGTAGAAACTCAGGAGGCACACAGGGTTCTCGTCCTACATTGATCTTCACAACAACCCTGTGAGGTAGATTAGGTTGAAACAGAATGACTGCTGGCACCCCCAGGAGTTTTAGGAGCAGGGCAAAGGGAGGAAGCAACATTGCACTATGTGACTGAGCTTTGTGGCTGAGTCGGTGTTTTGACCCCAGATTTTTGACCTAACCGTAACTGCCTGACACTCTAACTGCAGTGGCTCTCATTAGCAGGGTACTTTGTGGGGTAGGAGTTGAGGACTTGTTCCACTAGTCCACCCTTTTCTTAAACTGAAGACCAGGGTATTTCTAGGGGCTGCCCCTGTTGGAGCTGCTTACGGGCTAAGATGCTTAAGTGAGAGAAGTCCCATTAGCTCCCGGAGAAAACAATCAGTCCCTTCGTTCACTTGCTTCTTCTAGCTTCTTCCATTGGCTGCTTGAATTTTGGTCTAATGGGTCTTTCTGAGTGTCTAGTTTCATGCCATTTCTTCAGGGGATGAAGAAGGCTACCTTAGTTATTAACTCTGCAGATGGTTTACCAAACTTTACACAGGCATGTGTAAATCTGCAGTCTGAACCAGGGAACCCAAATTCTCCACTCAGAGTAAAGCCTGCCAATGAACAAAGCATTTGCTGACACTGGAGAATGGACTCTGTTTCCAGCAGTCATGTTTTGCAATGCTTGGAAAACTGAACAGAGGGAGAACGGGAGGGAGAGAAAGGCATGGAAAGTGCATACAGGCAGGGCTGGGTCCGGAGGGTATCAAGGCGGGCCATTTCCAAGGTGTCCAAGGCCAGCAAAGGATCCTGACCCCTAACAGCTTCACCATTCTGACTTTGCATGAAGCACTAAAGAAGAAATCCAAGGCAGTGGGAGACAATTCCCAATTTGCTCACCTTGCCATTGTCAGGTAAAGGGCCCATGAAAACTGCCAGTGCCCAAAAGGACTGCAAAATCTGGCACTGGGTGCAGACCCATCTTCCGGTGCAGACCCATCTTCCAGTGCAGACCTTACAAGATGGGTAGCCATGTTAGTCTGTCTGTAGCAGTAGAAAAGTGCAAGAGTCCAGTAGGACCTTAAAGGTCCCGTTCACACGCGGCGATTTGGTCCGGGAGCGGGACAGTTCGGGGCCGGATCAAACCGGCGCGATCACACCACAACATCTGGGAAGCATCTTGCTTCCGTGGCCGAACTGTCCCATTCCCAGGAAACGCCGCCGCAAACTAAACCACCTATCTAGGTAGTTTAAAGGGAAGTGGCGCGGCAACCGGGGCGTTTGATCGCCGGCGCTTCCTTGCGCCGGCTCAACCCCGGCCCGGATCCGAACTGCGCATGCCCGGACATGCGCAGTTCGGCCGGCTCCCGTTCGGGCCGTGTTTTCTCCCCGGCGTTTGATCGCGCCGGGGAGAAAAGGCGCTGCGGCCAGGGGATCCGTGGGATCCCGCCGCGGCGCCTCAACGTTGGCGCGGCTTTTAAAAGCCGCGCCTTAAGAGGCTTTTCCCCTGCCGTGTGGCAGGGGCCAAAGACTAACAAAATATGTGGCAGGGGATGAGCTTTCGTGAGTCATGGCTCACTTCTTCAGATACCCTACAAGTATAACCTCACAACACTCCTGGTCTTATGCTCAGGACAGTTGCTACCAACACCCTCAACACCCGAGCTTGAAGTTCTTTTTTATCGGCTATATTTATTCATCATGGACCAGCCTGGTGTGATTTAGATGCAAAAGGAATGTTTGTTCTTTTGATTAAAGAGGTGCCACCAGCAGTTCAAAGTGAACTTCATAAACTGCACTGTACTCAATGGAGGAGAGGATATGCACTGTGCCTAGAAGCTCAGAAACTGACACCCTCAGATGGTTTTTGCAAGTTCCAAGCCGTCTCTCCACTCCTGCCCTTTCTAAGGATAGACACTTCCTTAGTTCAGTGTAGTGGTCTCTGACTTTCCATTCATGATGGCAGAGAAAGCTGGAAGGGACTGTAGAGCCTTCAGCGATTTTTCTCCCTCTGTCTGCTGTTTCTGTCTGCTTATCTTGTTCTATTCTTCAGCTGCTTATTGCTCCTTGGAGTTGAGGCTGGAACAATTATCTGCCAAAGGAGAACTAAGGTCAGCACTTTTATGAGCTCTGTCAGCTCTTTCTGTCTGTCTTCAGGGGAGCCTTCAGTCAGGAGTCTGGCTTATACATACCTGCTTTTCATGTAGCCTTTGGGCCCATGTCCTGGTGTGGAGGGTCGTCCGTCTTGGTAGCAGACTGAGTCCGGAAAGGCCAGGGAAACCTCTCGCTTGTAGTATGCCACATGTTCATAGGGAACCTAGTGATAAATCATTCATAGACCTGGGGTTTGTAGTAGCAGAGCAGCTCACTATAATACATGCTACAGTCCTAATGCAAAACCACTGTATTTGAAGTTGTATGTTTTGTATTATTCTCACAAAGTGTGA